CTCAAGACGTACCCGGACGTTGACTACCGGCTTGGTAAATACTTGCGAAGGGGCATAACCCCCTCCGTCCTAGACCCTAAACCCTACGTACCCCAAAACTAAACCCCAGAAAGTTGGAATATGGATTTAGGATGAGTAGTGCTGGGATTCCCTATACTTTACCTTATAGGGGCATGAGGATAATAGTGTTCCAACTTTCTGGCTTCTACTGTAAGCCCTAATAAACCGTAACAAACCCTTAGCCCTGAATCCTACCCTGAACCCTACCCCCAACACCCCGAGCCTTCTGGAGAATCGCTGCCAAATCGCGCTTACCTGCACCCATGGCTTGCTTTCAGGGACTGCACCTCAACCCTATCATTTCTGGGAAATAAGTATAGTATAGTCTAGTCTAGGCTCATCCAGTACAGTCTAGTATAGTACAGTATTCTTGTGATATCACATGATGTTTTAATTAGTACAGCTACCGATTGTCTTTCGCCTGCATGCAAACCTTAAAACTCTGAGCACAGAAACCTAGCCGCCTAGCCAAGTAAAGGAGTGAGGATATTTGACGGTAGAATCCTAGCGAACCTTAAACCCTAAACCCTAGGTCCTAGCAGCGAAAGGTGAGACATAAGGGAAACATACTGATATCCACGCTTGAAGCAATTCCTGCCAGGATTAGTGTTCAGGGTTTATTAGGGCTTATCGCGTCTATAGGGCTTAGGGTTTTGGGCTTAGGGCGTGGGGAATGACTTGAACCGCGTACTTTGAGTGTGCACCATGTTCACATAGGCGTTGCAGTTGCAGCTGGGCAGCCTGCCTGGATAGTAACTTGTGTTATAGAATAATAATGTGCTGACGAACCCCTAGGGCTCCAGTTACCTAAATAGTAGGTTACTAACCATAGATTATGTACCCCAGTAACCTACTATTTAGGGAACTGGAGCCCTAAACCCTAAACCCTAAACCCTAATATAGGGTCGTGAGAAACAGGATCGGTTCCTTTAATGAGGTTCCGAGACTGAAAACTTCGACATGCAGCCGAGGACGTCGAACCCTGAAAAACCTAGGTTTAGGGTTTTAGGGTTTAGGGTTTAGGGTTTAGGGTTTAGGGTTTAGGGTTTAGGGTTTAGGGTTTAGGGTTTAGGGTTTTAGGGTTTAGGGTTAGGGCCTAGCGTTTAGAGTTTGGGGCTTAGGGCCTGAAGTGTCGATAAGAGTTGAGGGCTCAGGTTTGTTAGGGTTTAGGGTTTAGGGTTTAGGGTTTAGGGTTTAGGGTTTAGGGTTTAGGGTTTAGGGCTTAGGGTTTAGGGTTTAAAGTTTAGGGTTTTCTGAATTCCAGATTTCCCAGGGCAATCTGCAGACCGCGCTCGGGTACCGTAGCACATCTGCTGAGCCCACGGTAACCGCCTCGTACCTGATCTACTACCCTAAGGGTCCAAAGGACCCAATAATAAGGTACTTTGGTTGCGGATAGTAGCTATTTGGGCTAATATTTGGGAGAGTATATGATTACTAGGTACTTGGACCCTTAGAGAAACCTTTCGGGGAAGGAAGCCCGGTCATTCTTATACCTCTTTTTCTATACACACATAGCATAGAGTTCAGATACTGTGATAATGTAGATGCTTGTCCGGTAGGGAACCCGAAACCCCAAACCCTAAACTTTAAACTCTAATTAAACCTAAAACGCTACACCCTAAAACCCGAAACACCAGACCCAAAACCCTAAACCCTAAACCCCTAAACCCTAAACCCGAAACCCGAAACCCCTAAACCACAAGCCCTAAACCCTAAACCCTAAACCCCTAAACCCTAAACCCTACTGAAAGGGTCGGGTTGCGCTTCTCTGCAGCAGCGCGCGCAGCGGCCTGCACCAAACACGGCAGGTGTTGAGTCGGTTTGGTTTAGGGTTTAGGGGTTTAGGGTTTAGGGCCTAGGGGTTTAGGGTTCAGGGGTGTAGGGTAGGGGTTAGGGGTTTAGGGTTCAGAGTTCAGGGAGTGCTTTTAGGTTTTGGGGTTTTGTGGTTTAGGGAGGCAGGGGTTGAGCTTTTGGGAGTCTTATGCAAGCCTTTTGACGTGGAATCGATCCTCTAATCATCTCAACTAGCTTTATACGAAATGGATTGATTTCGACATGTTCTGTATTCATCCCTGCCCCCGAGGTCGGGCAAGGAATTTGGCTTTGCTAAGGAGGTGACACATAGGCTTCCGAAGAGGTGGAAAGACTAGCTGTAGCCGAGTCTGCGTCATTGTTTTCCTGCAAATATTTGCTTCATTCGTCTTGGCAGTCACATCATCTGTGGATCTGGGATTTCGCCAATCTGCCCGAATCTGCTGTAAACGCTGATACTCGAAGTGTGTGTAAATACAGTGTGTTTACATATATATATATATATATATATATGTGTGCGTGTAGTTAGTATGTACGTTTGCATGCATGTATGTACGAATGTATGCATGTATGTATATGCATGCACGTACGTGCGTATGTATGTACGTATGTATGTATGTAAGTATGGATGTATGTATGTGCACTCATGCATGTGGGTAATTCTCTAAGTTCCGGCCCTTCTTCAGGTTGTGAAAATAGTACGGCACCCGTATAAAAAAGCAGACCCTAAAAGGACCGTAATTTAGAAAACCACCGATGTGTGTACACATATGTGATTATGGCTAGGCCCTAGACCCTGAACCCTTATACCCTAAACCCCTAACCCTAAACCCTAAACCCAAACCCCAAAACCGATCAACCCTAAACCCCTAAACTCCTAACCCCTAAACCCTAAACCCCTCAACCCCAAACCCCTAAACCCTAAACCCCTAAACCCCAAACCCCTCAACCCCAAACCCCCAAACCCTAAACCCCTAAACCCTAAATCCTAAACCCCTCAACTCCTAAACCCTAAACCCCTAAACTCCTAACCCCTAAAGCCCTAAACCCTAAGCCCCTAAACCCTAATGCCTAAACCCTAAACCCTAAACCCCTAAACCCCTACTGTAAACCCCTACTGTAAACCCCTAAACCCCTAAACCTCCTGAGGTACCAGGCCGCTTCTTCAGCGGCTACGGCGGCCTCTCCGCACCGGAAGCTCCGCGAGCTCCCGAGCAGCCGACGCAGCAGCAGCTGCAGACGAAGCTCCTCGGTTCAGAGGCCTTGGGTTTAGGGAGTTTAGGGTTTAGGGTTTAAGGTTTAGGGTTTAGGGTTTAAGGTTTAAGGTTTAGGGTTTAGGGTTTAGGGTTGTGGGTGTTGGGAGATTTTTGACCCCTACTAAACCCTAAACCCCCTAAAAGCCTGCTGTAGGGGCCTTAATAAGTAGATCAGGGTTTTGGGGTCTATCATACTATAATTCAATTTAATTCTAGTAAGGAGCCACCAAAATCATATAGGTAATTATTGAGGCCTCTATAGTAAACCCTGAACCCTAAACCGTGAAACTTTCCTTACTTGGGCTTGAACGGGGGGTCATATTTGCGAAGAATTTAGAGGGTCATATTTGCGAAGATTTGGCAGAGGCTTTAAAGCGGCAGCCTAGGCTTTGCCACGAGCTCTCCGAGCTTGTGAAGGTGCAACAGGCTTGGCAACTCGACGCAGGTTATCAGACGCTTGCTTGGTCCCGAAGGGTCCAAGTACGATTATAGTAGGTACTTAGCAGGTATTTGGGCCCCCAAAGTATAGACTATACTAGTACTTGGACCCGATGGGGTTGTGAGATTCTGGGTTTCTCAGTTGCGCCCCTTTTTGGGTTGTTTGTTTGTGGAAATTTGAGGGCTTCCTTATTCAAGCTGAATAGCCGAGAAGAAGAGCACCCTTATATTCAAGAGGACAGTGGGGCACCACGAGGTACAGCGCTTTGTATAGACCCCGAAACAGTAGAGGCCTTCTACTAGGCCAGCCCGAAATAAGGTACCACTTGTCTGAAGCAACCCCTAAGTGGCAGGGCTCAGTGAGTTTGTTCACTGAAGCATGTCGGCGTAGGGCTGATATTTGAGTTTTGTTGTTCTTCAAGGGTTCTTCATGGGTTCTTTGTGTTTTTGTTCACGAGGGCTTGGCAGCGGTCTGTAAGGGTTTATGAAGTAGGGTCTATCTTAACGGATATGGTGAGTGCATAAAGATTTGCCCAGGAATCTGGCCATCGTATTCTATGGTTACTGACGGCAGAACCATAAAGTAGATCCTTCACCATGTCCATCTGCAGGCAGAGTCGGCAATGTGCGATGCCATGCCATGTGCTGATTCGTGTGCAATCAACTAATCAACGGGTCGGAGTGATCACGAACAGTATTTCCTTGTTGCAGTCCCCATGTACTTCTACTACAAACAAACCCAGTCCCTCTTCTGACTACCAAGGTCCCTAGATTACTTCTGGCTGATCAGTTGCAGTACTAGCAAGCAGGTGCGGTGCAAGGGTACCCGCATTTGCACGGGGGGTTAATTACACGGGAATCTGGTATAAGAGCTCGCTCAGAAGCACAAACAATAACAACCATAGCCCCAAACCTTAAACCCCCAAGCCCTAAACCCAAACCCTAAACCCGGCTTAGTGTTTAGATTGCAGAGACTTCGGGGTGCTTCTCATCATGCGCTAGCACAACACTCTCCCTCCAACAGTGTCGAACCCGGGACCCAGAACCCCAGAACCGTAAACCCTCAAACCCCAAAGGTTTAGGGTTTAGGGTTTAGGGTTTAAACCCAAAACCCTCAAACCCCAAATTTCAGAAGCCCGAAACTCCAATCCCAGTGTTCGAGTGGACCATAGTGGACCCCAAAACCCCTGAAACCCTCACCTAAGCCCTAAACCCTTTCAGAACCCTTTTGGATCCCTTGCTGTAGAACCCCTCAAATTTCTGGAACAGTCCTTTCTGTAAGGGTTCTTTATATCTCATCCCTCAAACCATAGGGTACCCAAAACCCCTAAACCCTAGAACCCCTTTGGATCCCTTATTATAGAACCCTTAAAGTTGCCTTAATAAAGGTTCTTTATAGCTCATCTCTCAAAGCCCCTTCCTAGGTACAGCATGCTGAGTTCGGCCTGCAGGCAGCAGGGTGCACCGGGCCCGAGGGCCGGCCATAGTTTCCCGAAAGCTCTGGGCCTTTGTTTCGGGTTTAGGGTTTAGGGTTTAGGGTTTAGGGTTTAGGGGGCTTAATAACTGGAATAAGGTTTTGGGCCCCGCTAGACTCTAATTATAGTAAGGAATCTCCCAAATAGTTTGCTTCGGCCCCTACATGATGGGTTTCTTTAAAGGGGCCCTAAACCCTAAACCCTAAACCCTAAACCCTAAACCCTAATACCCTAAACCCCTGGGTTCCTTTAGGGGTTCTGCCAGAGACCCAAGGGGCCTCTAGTTTAGGGTCTAGGGTTTAGGGTTTAGGGTTTAGGGTCGAGGGTTTTTTGCCCTTTCTCATGACAAGGAGCAGGAGCCAACAGAGCCCCGCTGCACAAACTATTGGTTTAGGGTTTAGGGTTTAGGGTTTAGGTATTCTACGCTACCCCGTTCCTAGGGCTAATGCCTTCAGCAGTTTCTGTTCAAAGGGTCTTTAAGGCCCGTGTGGAAGCAGAGTTTGTTTTAATTCTGGTGGCTTGAACCGTGGCTGCAGGCATCCGCAGGAGCAACCTCGCCCGGAGATGCCTACTTGCAGAACTTGAAATTCAGGGTTTTTCCTCCCAAAGTCCGAGGGATTTGTTGCGTCGCTCACTCTAAACCGTAAACCCCCTAAGCCCTAAGCCCTTCTGCCCTACACCCTAAACCCTAAACCCTACACCCTACACCCTACAACCTACACCCTACACCCTACACCCTAAACTCTACATCCTAAACTCTAAACCCTAAACCCCAACCGGTAAACCCTCAACCTTTAGAGCTCCCTGAAAGGCACCCCTAAAGGAGCTCTGAAAGGGATCCTCAAAGGAACCCTAAACGCTTCGAAGAGCCCTCAAAGGAGCCCTTCAAGGAGCCCTTAATCCTGAACCTTAGGACCTAGTCCCCATAGAAACCTTCATAAAGCAACCCTTAAGCGAGCTCTTAATCCACCAAACCCTATAAATACCTTCATAAAGCATCCCTTAAAAGAGCCCTTAATCCACCAAACCCTAGAAATACATTCATAAAGAAACCCTTAAACGAGCCCTTAATCCACCAAACCCTATAAGATACCTTCAACAAGGAACCCCAAGGGGCGTAAAGCTACCGCTGGATGAGACAAGGCAGCAAAGCTTTTACGAGAGCCGGTGGACCGATCCTCGGGGTGCCTGGGCTCTGATGGATTTCACGAATCACATCATGGAGTATGCTAAGAAAGGAATAAAGAAGCAAATAAACAACGAAGTAAAGAAAGTGCATGGGCAAAACATGATTGGTAGTTCTGGGGCAGTCTCGCAGCCCTACAAGCCCTAAAACCGCGCTAGAATGCCGACGTCTTGAGCACCCAAAGGACATTCAAGTCTTCATCGCTTGCTTCATCTAGGGACCTAAATAATTACCAACCCTGTTTTGGGGGTTCCTTATATTATACCCCAAAATCCTATTCTAATTCATGAAAGACCCCTACATTCCTGCCAGGTTCGTTTTCTCAGAGTTGCCCACAAGCGCAGCGCCTCGGAGGTGGTTTTGCTTTTTTGCGTTCGACAGCAGCCGAAGAAAGAGATCCAGAGCCACGGTTCAGGGTTTAGGGTTTAGGGGTCATCGCGGCGAGGATGTGGATGGCGACGAAGGGCAAGGTACTGTGGTGAGAGTGATGACGTTGTCAAGGACATGAAACGATGATGGTGACGACCATGACGATGCCCATGGTGTTGAAACGTGGCGATTAAGCTCATGACGACAAGTTTAAGCTTTGGAAGATTGATTCTGCTTCAGGTGGCGGCGAGGATGGGTAGTCGGCAAAGTTGATGATGGCGTTGTTGCTGACGATGACCGTGAAATTTCAAATTCCTGTGGTGATGCAACTCCCAACTGGTATCCCCAGCAGGTCTTCTGCACCCACGAAAAAAGTTTTCCGACACCTTCACTTGATTTATGAGCGTCGCAGACAAACACCCCTGTTGGTTTGGTTTTGACCGCAGCTTATGCATGATTCCTCGGTTGGCTTTTAAAACATCTGGAAAAACAACTCCCCCTTAGGGGCTTAAGGGTTAGGGTTTAGAAGATGTGCCATTTACATGGGTCTGTCGGCCGATCTCGGGGTTCCCCCGTTTGGACGGCTCCGTGAAGGGGTTGCACCCCCCCGATTCTTCATGATTTGGAGGGGTTCCAAAGGACAAAAAAAGGATCCCCCCAACCAGCTCTTGACGATTTGGAGCGGCTCCGCACAAGGACAAGGATGGGACCCCCCCAACCCTTCACGATTCGGGGTCCAAAAGGACAAGTCGGGGTGCTCCCGTTTCGACGACTCCCGCCAGCACAGTCTCACAGAAAGCCCAATCCAGAAAGGGACAGACCAAAAGCGCACATGCATTGTTGCTCTTCCTCAAAATTCAAAGTCCACTGCTTGTCCGACACCCGCCAGGACAGCTTACAGAAGCCATAGAAAGCGTACATGAGAAAACGTCAGCACAGCCTCACAGAAAGCCCGCTCCAGAAAGAAAAAGCCCACATGCATTGCTTGCTTGTCTCCTCACAACTCCCGCCAGCACAGCCCCAGAGAAAGCTGCTTGTGCTGGCACCCGCCAGGAAAACCTGAACAGAAAGCCCACATGAGAACCCGCCAGCACAGCCTTCCAGGAAGGGACAGACCCGCAGAAAACCACATGCATTGCTGCTTGTCTCCTCGCTAGACATTACAAGGCCTGAACTCAGAGGGGCCTTGGGGTGGGTTGTCCGCAACGCACCAATGACGTCACCACCCTAAACCCCCAAACCACTAAACCCTATAAAGTATCAAGCACAACCCTAAACCCAAATCGCCAAGCCCTACTGTACACCCTAAAACCACTACCCTGAACCCCTCGAACTCAGGTACACTACCCCGCTCCCACGAGCTCCAAATCTTAGCTTCTCACAGCGGCTGGGCTCTGCTTAGTTCTCCGATACCTAGCTTTTCCATACTAAGAGTTCTAATCGTTTCGGCCTGATTCTGCGACAGCAGTTTGTCAAGTAAGGGGTTCAAGGTTTCGGGCTTAGGGTTTAGACTCCGTTTGGGATTATGTTTCGTGTTGAGGAATTGATGTTTTAGGATGTTTTAAACTTCAGGGATCCTGCAAGATTTGGGTTCACGTACGGTTTTAGGGTTCAGGGTTTCGGGTTTAAGGTTCTCATTTTGTGAGATTTCAAGACAATACAATGCTACAAGGACAGTAGAAAGCGTTTCGGGGACCGAATAAGCCGATAAGGCATACGATCCCGAAGCCCTACAGCCTGAGCTTGAAACCCTAAGCCTTAAGCCCTTTATCCTACACCGTAAACCTCAAACTCTCAGCCCGACGCCCTAAACCAGAAACCCTGAACCGTGAGACTCCAAACCCTTTCAGCCTCAACCAAGGGCCCGAATTGCGCGTGCTTAGCGCATCACGCACCCAGAGTAGGCACGCTGTTATGTTATGAGATTCATGTTGCAGCACGCTGTGTGACTCAACGAGTGCATATAGCTGGTGTATAGTAATTAGGGTTAGCATGGGTAGCCGTGGTAGTTGAGTTGCAATAGCGCTATAAGGCTGGAGTGAAGCCTCACAGACGCAATGCCGACAAGACGTAGAGGTATGGCAAAAAAGGGAAAAACCTGCGAGAAACAGTTTTTCGCAGCTCGTCGCCACAGTACGATGCACTCGACACAACCTCGTCGCAAGACACTACCGCTTAAGCGATATTCCACGGCAAGCCCTAAGCCCTAAACTCTAAACCCTAAACTGGCTCTAAGCCTTAAACCTTATCTACAATAGGACCGAAGCAGGGTTTAGGGGTTAGGGTTCGCCACTCAGACCGTGGATCAGCTTTCAATGGCCAGCTGTCAGTGGAGCCACAACAGCGGGCTCCCCTATACTTTCAACCTAAACGCCAGACGCCCTAAACCTAAATCCTAAATCCCGAGACCCCCTAAGAGCTAAACCGGAAACATTCCAAACCCTAAGCCCTAAAGCACATGAGATGAAGGATGGTGCCAACCCTGAATCCGTGGACTCACGATGCTGGAAACTTGGCTCCTTGGTTGCCGTTGTTTAGCAGTAAGCAGGTGGCATGCTTTCGCTGTCCCTAGACCCTAAGCCCTAAACCCTAAACCCTAAACCCTGAACCCTAAACCCTAAAAACTAAAACCTAAACCCTAAACCCTAAACCCTAAACCGAGACCCTAAGCCCTAAACCCGGGTGTATTGTCATGTCTTCAGAGTTCGGGATTCCGGCGGCTCTTGTTGCACCGAAAGCTTGAGCATGCCCTACTGCACACAAGTTTAGTGTTCAGGATTCAGGGTTCCTCAACATCTGAAAACACGAGGTCCGAAGTAGGCTTCATAGCATACAGGCTGCCTTGTGGAATGTGGTGGGGGTAAGTTTTTGAATTTTTTCTAAGCTCCACACCCATACCCTAAACCCAATGCCCTAAAACCTTGAACCGTACTGTATCCTAGTAAAGGCGGCTGTCCCAGATGCAAGATTTCTTCCTCCAGCAGCAGGATAGCAGGATTGTTTGGTATCAATGAACTATACAGTATACCTCACGGAAGCCATATGCAAACTACTAAGCTAAGGCCCCTGCATTACTGGTTGCTTGAAACGTTTTCGCAAGGCTGCTGTGGAAAGGTGTCATGATCTGCCCAGCCCAAAACCCTAAAGCTTGGCCGGCAGTTGGCGGCTCTTCGACAGATGGGCGCTGTTTACATCACGGACGACGGGCTGGGTTGTGTCTCGGACTGACGCAGGAAAACTCGAAGCGAAGTCGCACCAAGTTCCAGGAAATCGGGAACTTGTAATATAGACCTTGAAGGTTTGGATCCTGTTTGCAAGGACAAAATATTTGGAGAAAACATTCTGCAGACTAACATACTTTGAAGAAGCAACCCCTAACCCAAAGCCAAAACTCGACCCCCAAGTGGCGTTGAACCCTTCAAACCCTAAACCCTAAATCCCTAAAGCCCGAAAGCCCTAAGCTCCTAAAGCCCTAAAGCCCTAAGCGCCTAAAACCCTAAAGCCTTAAAAGCCCTAAAGCCATAAGCCCCCTAGACCCTAAACCCCTAAACTCCTAAAGCCCTAAGCCCCCCAGACCCTACAGCCCTGAAGCCCTAAAGCCCCAAGCGCCTAAAGCCCTAAAGCCCTACAGCCCTGAAGCCCTAAGCCCCCTAGACCCTAAACCTCTAAAGCCCATAAAGCCCTAAAGCCCCAAAAACCCTGAAGCCCTAAGCCCCCTAAAACCCTAAACACCCTAAAGCCCTTAAAGCACTGAAGCCCTAAGCCCCCTAGACCCTAAACCTCTAAAGCCCATAAAGCCCTAAAGCCCTAAAGCCCTGAAGCCCTAAGCCCCCTAAAGCCCTAAACACCCTAAAGCCCTAAAGCACTGAAGCCCTAAGCCCCCTGGAGCCCTAAACACCCTAAAGCTCTAACGCCCTAAAGCCCTAAAAACCCTGAAGCCCTAAGCCCCCTAAAGCCCAGAACCTCGGGGGAGTCCCCCAAGGCCTGCCGAAGCAGAGCTTCGGGCGCTGGCGGGACCTGTGGTACGAAGCGCTCTTCTACCCGGCAGCTTTCAGGAGGCCTGGGTCTATAGGGAGTTTTTGTTGGGGGTTTTGGGGGCTTGAGGGTTTTTAGGGTTTGTAGGGTTTTTCGGGTTTTTAGGGTTTTTAGGGTGTTTAGGGTGTTTAGGGTTTTTAGGGTTTTTAGGGTTTAGGGTTTAGGATTTAGGGTTGAAGGTCTGGGGTTTAGGGTTTAGGGTTTAGGGTTGGGGCTTGAGGGTTTTCAGGGTTTAGGGTTTTAAAGGGGGTTGAGAGGGTTTAGATCTAGGGCTGTCGGGCTTTAGGGTTTAATGTTTGGGGTGTTGGGCGTTTAGGGTGTTGGGTATGAGGCTTGAGGATGGGCCAGGGGTCGTACTCGGATCCTAGGTGCAGAGAGGGCGTTGTACTCAGCGTCCGTATCGTAACGATACTATGCATAGCTCTATAAACCCTCTCAACTTTAAAGCCCCGAACTGCAAACCCTGGAACCGAAAAGCACTAGAACCCAAAAAGCTCTAGAACCCCTAAAAGCCCCAAACCCTAAACTAGAGCCGCTGTGGATCTCTGATAGAATCTGAGTTCTCCAATACCCAACCTTTGAGCTTTTCGGGTTCTCAGAATTTAGTAGTAATCTGAAAGTTTAACCTTCTATTTCCGTGGCTTGTTGGGGAAGTAAG